TGACCCAGCCAAAGATTACTATGTTCTAGTATGTCAGGACGCGCTCAGTGGCTACATCGTAGCTAGACCAATGCGTAATTCTAAGGCTGGTACCATAGCGACTACTCTTCACTCCATATTCTGTGAACATGGCTCTCCAGCGGTAGTTGTTAGTGATCGAGGTCTTCACACTCTAATGACAAGAGCGGTACGGTCTATCTTGGCTAAACATGGTGTGAGACAGTATACTCTACCTGGTTATAGCCAACACTTGACTTTCTGGGAACGATCCCATCGAGATCTAGCTCAGACTTCCAGGGCTATCGAGGCATCTAGTGCTACCCCTGATGACTATATTTTCAGTTATCTACTGGCGGTCCGCTCTTATAATAGCACACCTCGTTATTGGTCAAGTCTCAGCCCTAGTTCTCTACATTACAGTTATCGTCAGAGACTACCTGGTGATCTACCTCTCGACTTCCCATCTATCGATTGGGACAAACTCGAGGTCAAGTATCTGAACGTTGACTATTTGCCCTATGTAAGGTCTCTACTACCAACTCTAGCTGATCAACAAGAGAAGATCAAGATTACTGTCCAGGAATACGTCGATGCCTGGCAACAAAAGCAAGCAGATCTACGTGAGCGTTCTATTAGGGAATCTCCACAAGACTATAGGCTGGAACTCTACGACTTGGTTTATATTAGCGAGACAAGTGACTCTGCTATTGGTCGACACCTGAGTTCTACATGGAGAGGTCCTCTAACTGTCGTTCGACTTGCTGGCACTGCTATGGCATATCTGTTCGAAGGTATACTCCTACCGAATGATTACGGTGGGAAACTACGTGTTTCGGACGACGGTAACTCTATAGAGAATGGTCCGGAGCATTCTAAGCTGGTCTATGCTTCTCTCAAGAACTTGGTACCGGCTAGAGCCTTACAATCTCTCATCTATGACCACTATGAAAAGGGTACTAGAGTCTATCAGGATACCAACGGTGACCTTGTGACCATGCCTGCTAGTACTGATGGCACTGATCAGTCTAAATCACCCTACGCCGAGCCAAACAGCTAGTTGCTGG